AGCTTACTGGAACCCTTCGGATGCCGAGCCAATTTGACAACATCGCCATCTGACAGCAGCACTGATCTATCGACAGTGCTCAGTTCGCTGCCATTGTGATAAGTTGTGTTATACTGAGCAACAATTATGGGCTATATGAAGCTAAAAAAGTCGACCTACTCGCGAGAGGTCTTTCAAACGAAGCATCGGACATGCCTGCGACGACTCGCCTGTTACTATGAACTCACACTGTTTCCGCGAAATCGTGTTGTCTGATGGAGCGACATGGTCTGAAGGCAACGAATGGGACTCACCATTGGCGACGACTATGTCCGAGTGAGCTCGACCAACAGTGGTAGTCCCCCGAGGAAGATAGTATACGGATCGATCGGAGCTACTTTCGAGAGGTAGTAGCAACCAGACCATTCTCGAAAGGCTAAAGGAATGAGCAGCGAGAGTAGATCCACAGTGAACGCAGAAGCATATGATTAGAGTACAAAGAGAATGAATACGTGAGTATAGCAGTTGTAACTTGATGTTCGCTCCATTTCATGGTATCAGCAAAGATCGCATCGCAGTCATGGGAGGAGTTGACAACAGCGCCTGAACGGCTGCTTATATTCAAACTTGTTGCATAACTCGAATGGGCACCCTTTGATGCCTAGATCGACAGCGACCAACGGCCAGCCAGCTTATTAGGATCAGCCTCTGGTCTGAACCTACTTCTCGGTTGGCGGTATAGAGATAGGATACCTCTACTTCTCGATTGAATCTGCACCTAGTACCAGGAACACGCAAGAAGCTACAACAGTGGACAGTATCTATTCCCAAGGTTGAGGGATCAATGATTCTCAACCATAACTTATACACCGTGTCAACTACGACAGCTAGTCCCTAGGAGAGTACTCCGCCACCTCGAGTGACGTTGAACACTCAGCGACACTGGTCGTTGAACTGGCTCCGCTGTGAACCAGTTGAAGGGCTCACTCCGCGGCACCGCTCCGTACCGAATCAGCATCTGCTACATAACTTATCAATATTCCCAGCAAGCTGCCGATGTTCCCGAAGCCGTGCTCCAATCCAAGGATGAACATAATCGCCCTTCTCAATAATGGTGGTGGTCAATAGTATCAATCACGTCAACTCGACTCACACAGAGCCGTTGAGGCCAACTGTTCTTCAATTAGCCCTTATGATTACGACTACGGTGATTTAGAGTCGCGCTAGCTCACGTTAAGAGGTTACATAAGAGAGGCTACATCTGCACGGAAGAAGACATTTACACAACCTCATCAGAGCCTTTGTGATATGAAGGCCATGTCGAAGGTTGAGCATTCTACGTCTCATACACCATTTTTCAAATACTGAACGCGGCGTGGACAAGGATGATAAACCCCCGATTTCAACTAATTAGAATGCCGCCGGCACGACCTATTCTACTATCGAGTGGCACTACGTCCGCGACCTAGTATACCTATCACGATGCGAACATCTAAAACTTCAACTTTCAGAGTGTATACTCTATCGCATTACGAAAACCATCATGACACATGACTGCGCACTGCTGTATAACTTAGTTGGAGAAGCCATACTGTACGGCCCGTACATTTCCTACAACCACGGAGTTTGGGTGGGCGCAGCAGAAGACCAGATCGAACTTTCGAACTGCAACCCGCGGCCCGTAGACCAGGAACCCGGGACGATCGCGACGGGCGCCGTAGACCAATGTCCAGTCCCGAGACAGACCCGCAAGCTGTGTAAAGGTCTATAAGACTGTGTTGTGAGTCCAAGTTCTCGAAGTCCACAAGTACTTCAGCCTACGCAATAAGCAGAGCTCATCAACCGCGCTAAGTGCTGCACTCATCAACACGTGAATCCAAACTCTTAGAGACCAATCTTGGGTCACAGAACTTGAGTTGAGTAGACTCCACCTCCGGAGCACACACATGGCATATCATATGCTATACTGTTATGCATTTTACTCTGCCCGTGCAATGCAAAGAACCAACACAATGAGCGCCGCAACATTGCACTGCGTCGTTCCGAGGGCTTTTCGAGTACGTCTGCATGCACCTGGTCAGCAGCGTACTCTAACAGCATGCACCATGGTATCGGAGAACAGCGGGTGAATCAGCAGCGGTAACGGGAGGCAGTCCCATCACAGTGACAATCGTTTGCCTAGCTCAAATGTTGGTCTTCGTTCTCCATCTCGCAGTCGTTACCGCCGAGTATACCGGAGCCTACAAGGAGAAGTAAAGAGTCACTTCGCTGGCTGGGCATCGCATCCTGAAAAGTATTCTCGTCTGGTCGGATTCGGACACAACTTCGGTAGACATGATGATCACCGTATGAAGATCTTTGCAGATGACCTCCGCTACACAGAGAAATATGATACCAACTTGGTATTACCAAAGGTGGGATTATCTGGTTGTGAACATGTACTGAAGTTAATACCAGAGTGCCACACCGCCACTGCAGGTATGTCCTACACGCTCAAGGTGACTCCCTTCACCCCCGTTGAAAATCTTCCAAGAGCTGTCAACTATGTTGCTAAGGGCTGGGTTACGGCTGTTCAAGGTCAGAGTCACTGCGGCCTTCTCAGCTACTGGTGGAATCCTTCGTCGGTCTGCGATGATACTTGCCGAGAATATCCTCAACAAGTGCTCGCGAGGGTCTTCACAAGAATCTTACTGGGGACCTCGTGTCACTCTCGGAAGGAGAGTTAATCGACTGTAACTCGTCTTCTTGGAACACGTGGATAACCATATTGTACCTCATCTTCACGCGATTCTTGACCTCTACAGGGCCTGTCTCGGTGGATTGATGGCTGGCGCGTTTGAATACGTTATGGATCACGGGATCGGCTCGGGAAAGGATAGTCCGTACAAGCAAGTCTCCAATCCAATTCATCCAACCTGTAGGAGCAATGTTTAGAAGGATGTCATGAGTTCAGCAACGTTTGTTTGCTGAACTTCTGATCCATCGAGTTGTTCAGATGGAAGTCAGAGTGTTGCGAAGAATAGCATGCTTAGTATTGTTCTGCATAAATCCATGGCTTAAGATCACAGTCGGGCTTGTGGGTTCTGCTGTAGTAAGGATATAGCAAGACTCGGGACGGGCCGCAACTAGCGCTCCGGTATAGAGTCATAAATGGAAGTATGGACTGGACAGGCATGGTTGTAGATCCCACTCGACTCATCATTAACGTGAACTACAGCGCAACACTCAAGGATGGTGAAATCAGCTTCGCCCCTTATGGCCGTACTGTGGCCCTGCTCCTCCTCCTGCTCCCCAGGCCATGCCCATCCCAGGAGCACCACCATATGGTGGCATCTGCTGCTGCTGTTGGTGATGATATGCTGCATACGAGCCGCTACCTAGGATCATAACGTCACTTCCACCCCAATCTTCAGAACATTACGTTTTCGTTTAGGTGGCATATGAGGATAGAAAGGCGCCGGAGCACGCATGAGCGGCTCTGGAAGACTCCCGCCCTCCTTACGGGGTATCCGTCCTGTCATCAACTGAGGCCGAAGCACATATCAAAACCGCGAACGGTCTACTGCGATGCTCACATAATCTTCAACTTCCTCCGGCCCAAACTTGTGTACTCTAGTGCATCTCATTGGGTCCATGCATCGACCTGATATACACAATGTGGGAAAGTATGCACATGATCAACGTGTTGATGAAAATATGAAAATTCTGAAGACATTTTTGTACACTCAAAGCGCAAACTACTGAGCTCAGTTCAGCACACCCTACATATATTTCAACACTACATCGCACTCCTTGAGCGTGCTCTAGGCCGCTGACCTGTTAATATCTGGTCTGAACAGAGCCGATTGGCTTGCTTGCCAGGTTCAGTTCCCCACTGTAATGCCTGTGGATGCTTCAATGGACAGGACTCCCCCAAAGGGCAGGAGCCTCGGAAGAGGTACCACAGACAGAGAGGCCTGCCCAACGACCGATGCAATCGACTCCAGAGAGCCTCCAACTACTGTCCATGGTCTTCCAGCTCCACCTTTCCAATGCTACCCAAGTCGTGAGCTTGGAATAGAGCACACATAAGGCGGACGTTATCCCTCGATAATCTGAACACTATATCACAGAGAACGCTAGGGGTCCTTTACTTGTCAGTAAGTTCAATTTCAACATCATGTCGACGTAGCACGCCAGGCACTCTATCAGTAGTAATGACTCGGTCCAGTATGTGGCCAAGCCGACCGTCCATCGACACTCGATAGTCCTCAGCTAAAGCAAACTCCAACCTTAAACCACACATCCTCCCCAAGTGGTTTCACCTAAACACTTTATTATCGTATTAGCAGGGACTTGAGTGACGTCATCTGTGAGATCACTAGGACTAGTCAGTGGAGGCGGCAGCGGTGGAGGGCCATGGGACTACCATTACACCATCATATACCAGTAACCTCCTTCCCACTATTACTCCTTCCCTCGACCGTTCGCTTCCATCTTCCATAGAGCTGCCTGAATTACTCGTAGTCGACCTCCTCGAACGATGGATCGGCACAGCCGGTGGAGGAGGTGCCTATCAACACACCCCATTCCTGCACTACCCGACTCGCTTCAGAAGGCCACCAGAGGGTTCTGCACCATCAGCTCGCCATGGACCCGCTCAGCTACCGCTACCGGGTCGCTAGTCGCCCCTCTACCCAAACGATTAAGTAGTCGTAGTAGAATATCTAGTGACAGACCTGACCGTTCGTCCAGCTACTCAAGCGATGACTCACCATCCATCGTTTTATAGAGGCCGTCCATGAGCGTGGCCGCCGCCTTAGCCGCCGCCTCTTCCCCGCCCGAGCCAGCCATCGACATAACACGAGTCGATGCCACATCCACTAAGGCAACCTAAGCATACGAGCTCGTGTAAGCAATACATCATCGATGACTTATACGAGTTCCAATAGCTCCGTTGGTACTGATTCGAACACCTCTGCTGGCGGTGTAGACTTCTGTGCCAAAGACGATACTCGTGGACCGGCTGAAACGATAACCCAAGGACGAGTGAACAATCTCATCAATTTCAGTACATCAATTTCGATATTAATTACTATCCAACCATACGTTCACCAAATCAAATAATATCCAAACCGAAATCATGAGCATTTCTTTCCCCAAGTCAACTCTACAACAACATATCGACGAAAACACCCAAGTAGTGTCTTATAGGAATTCCAATACGATATACAAAAATGTAAAATCGCACAGACCGCCCACCATACCAAAGCACGCCAAGGCTGGTGAATCCTTGGCCCTGTAGGTCGCATATCGGACCAAATCCCGTTTGATCTGAATTCCACCTGCATTATCATCTTCCACATTACAAGTGCTAATACCTCAGCCACCTTCTCTCGCTGGGTCAACGGCTCCCCCGAACTACTCAGTTCTTCACTACTGGTATGCTCTATAGACTTCCACGGCAGACCGCCCAGCGCCAAGTCCAGAAACCTATTCCAACGACCATCGTCTGAGACAACTGAAATCCGCAGATCACGAATACACGAAAACGAGGCTCCAATAATCGTCGATGTAAGTCAAATGGCCGCCCCCCGGAGATACATAGTTTGTCGTACCACGGAATGAGTGCGCTTGGGTCGTGCCTAACACAGGCCGCGATATCAAAAATGAACATCTTCAAATACCCTTACGGGGCGGTTGGTCATCCGCAGCGTAAAGTGTTTTGTCCTCCTCTGCAGTGTGAGTAGCATCGACTCGCTTGGCTAGGCCAAAATCGATTAGCAAACACTCCAGCTTTGGTGGTGGACCTTCCGAACCTGCACAGTTGAATATCAAATGTCATTTACCGAGGAGGACCCTCACTGTCAGGCGTGGAGCTCACGAGCCAATTCGAAGGCTTAACGTCCCGATGAATGTACCCCAGCCTGAAGTCAAAATCATTTGCAGTCATGGAAGTTGCATAAACTCGGTCGCCTACTTATGCATGCGATGTAGGGTATCTAGCATACCCCGTCCGAGTGCCGCCAAGCTGAACGGCGAGAACTTCCCAATACGCCTCCTCACAACCGACAGAGACTCTCCTGAACAGTGTCGAAATACATGTTTGCTTTACTCAGCTGCTGAGCTCAAGATTGCCCTCACTAGTCATAGGAAAACATACACGAATTAGGGTAGAAGTGTTCAGAAACCAACGATAATTTTGTAATTGACTCGCAATGTGGTTGACCATGTGCATCTTTTCCCACACTGGTCCTCGGCACTACGCCTCTCCAACAGAGCGTACCACTACGCCTACCTGGACACAGCTGCATAGCCACTACTGTTGTAGGGTAGTTCGATCCCCACGGTACAATGACCATGTCCGTACCAAGGAAATACACCTAAACCACAAGTCTACCAGGCCCGACAAGAATTCACCGCTCACCTGTGGTATCGCTATACTAGGGTCGTGTCTCTTTAACCACTGCATAACTTTAGCCTCATAGGTCAACACCCGTGGCACACATCGAAGAGGCTTCTCAACCTTCAGTGCAATAGGTGGTACCGTTGAATCTAATATCAGCACTAAGCCGACCAGTGGTTCATCCAAATGTAGTTGTACCAGCGCCAATCTCAGCACCCAAGTAAATCTCTGAGAAAGTTCCATACCCGAGTCTCCGAACTGCGAGGTACTTTCCTGCGAACTCAGTATTAGGAGGAATCAATGGTTGATGACCTACGACAACATCAATAACAACAACAACAACGACAAAAACAGCAGCAGCAGCAGCAACAATAACAACAACAATAACAATAACAATAACAACAACAACAGCAACAACCTACGGCTCACATACACCCTGCAACAACTACACTCACCCAAAGTTGGCTTTATCTCAAGCTGTTGTATAACACTGACGGCCATGCTGCTCTCTACCGACATCGCACTGGCATTCCCTTCAGCGCCTCCCAATCCTCCCCGGTCTGCAACACCGCCATACATGTACCGAGACATGAACCGAGACACTACAACTACATAACAGCAATAGACAACACTCAAAACACAAGACGAATAGATGAGCAAAAGCAATGAAATAATAGGCGACAAGGAAGCCACTGAAGCAGAGTGATAACTGTAGTGACTTCCCACATAACAGAAGAGCCAGCGAACGGGCCTAGTGTACAAAATGGTACACCCCAAATAGCGGTCAGCGCCTACATACAAATAAACCTATTCCGGAGACTCATCGAACGACTTCCGCACCAGTCGCGTGGTGCCGTCCCATTTCGCATCGTCCTGAAATAGGAGTTGGCGAATTTACGGTATATATAATACTTAGAAAAAAGCAACTCACCGGTGGTGGATTGGCCTCATAGTAAATTGCCTCTTCCTTTAACCTCCGCGCAGCAAGCCACGACTCACCCATCGTTCGAGACCTACAACAGTATTAATCACAGACCACCTTATGCTGCTGCTGACCACCTCTTCTCAGCTTCAGTGAGTAGCTCAATGGCTCGCCCGAAGTTCCGATTACGATAGGCCTCTAGCGCCCGAATATGAAGACCGGCAAGTACCAACTGCTGTGTAGATGCCTCCAATCTTGAGCTCAATACCTTACATGAAATGACAATAACTCACCACTATGATTCAGCCCGCAGATCTACGCTGAAATTTTCACCATATTCCAATGTGAAAAGATATGCGCATGGTCGACTACCTATGTTAGTAACAATATGAAAACTCTAAACACATTCTGGGAAACTCTCATTCCACCCGAATTTGTGTGTAGATTTATACATCATGATCCATCAACTGCGACATGGCTACCTCAAGAATAGTGAGGCCTTCAGATTTCCCCTTCACCGCTACACGGTCCAATGGTCGACAAACGAAGTTGTCCGCTACTCCTGGTTCCTGCCAGACGCTCTCTGATATAATAATCTGATAACATCGCCGTTAAGTTGTGTCAACAAGCCGGTCACTTAGTGAGTTACTACTACTACTACTACTACTACAGTAGTACTCCTACTATTACGACAATAGATATATTATAGACTACAATATATTTGATTACAAAATAGGTTGAATAGGAATTCACAATATCCTATTTATTGAGTTTTACTACACGAGTTCCATAACGTTTATTGCAGTTTTCGAGTCGACTCGCAGTGTTCACTCTGTCGCCGAGCAGACCGTACTTCATGCGACTAGGAGCTCCAACATTGCCAACCAAGCATTGACCTGTAATGATAATCATCGTAATCAACTACGACTCCTACGAGTCTCCTCTCACCCGTGTGAATGCCCATCCGGACCCTCAAAGTAGACTTGTTGACACTTTTCAGCGCCTGCTGCCACGTTGAGTCAGCCTCTGACAGTCTGGCTACTAGGGTCTGCAATTTCCCAAAATTACGGTATTAAAACCAGACTCATCATTAAATCTCACCTGCATAATCATAGCAGCTGTGAGGCATTGCTCAGCATGATTTCCTACAGGGAGAGGGGCATTCCACACTGCCAATATCCCGTCACCCAGAACTTCCAATAAGGTACCTGCTTATACTCAATCACAACCAGTGAATCACCAAGTGTCACCACGTGTCACCTTGGTTTTCAGTGATGATTTCGCTCACCAAAGTAAAGTAATGGGACAAAAACCTCAGTACCTACAAAAACAAGGCAAGCTCCTACGCTACACTACCGCATACAGGCGACTGACTCACTTGTGTGGGAGTAAGCTTCTCGCAGATCGTAGTGAAAGCCTCAATGTCCGAGAAGAATATAGTGACCTTCTGAGGAGCGACACCGAGCTCAACTTCCTCCCCAGTGCGGAGAATCATTCGAACCTAATTGACGAGATCATAATGGCGGGTAGTAATGAGTGTAGTAGGACCATATATAAAACAACAACAGCACCGCATAGCACACCTCAACACTAAGGTCAATGAAGTTCCACCCTAGTGATATGAAAAACACTAGTAGAAAATATATTTCACGACTACTGCATATCACCGCGAATATCGCGTTTTTCACAGAGTATTACGCCACTTCACGTGAAACGGATGAAACTCCACTGTATATGCATACTTGAATACTTCGTCTTCTTCCAACAACTAGGATCACTACAATTAGTATAACCTGGTAATCTTCATAATACTCTGTGATAAACCCATTGAAGCTCAGATTCGCAGATGAAGTTCGTCACCACACATGCGTATGAACTACTCGTGCAGCACTGCTACCCTCTTGGAAAAAAGGCTACTGCACTTTTCCGATAACAAATTAAAAAAACTAATATCTCGTTTTTGTAGTTTTCTTGCGGATGAAAAGTTCAAATTCGATTTTCCTACACTGTTCGAGAACAAAAATTCAAATTCGTGAAGAAAACTCACGATTTCGAAAACAAAAATTGAAATTCGTCACACATACGACCAGTCTTCAGTGCTCATTCTTTCAAATTTTCCCATAACACTTGCTGAATTTGAGATTGCAAAACCGTGTTCGTAGTGCAATGACGAAAAGCTTCTACTATTCCACTGCTCTTACCACGTCATAAGGACAATACTTAGCCCACGATGATATCATCATCTGTACTCGAGTGAGACTCTGATCAAGCTCTGTGATCTCGTTAAAATAACCATCACCGTGTCGGTCATTCGGTAAACAGCCCAGAAATGCCATACAACGACTCCCTGAGAAGAACATAGGGAAACCACCACATACAGCGACCTTTACTTTTTGGTGTTTCCTTCTCCTGGTCGTACGGGTTGCCTCGTACATTCGTAGTGAAGACCTGACATGTCAGGGAATGATGGTATCAATATTGTAGTTTCACCCGTTTTACGCGAAGTGGCGTAAATATATGTGAAGTATTTGAATTTGCGACTTGATTTTTTTTTCAAATATTCTGTAAAAACGCAATATTGGCGACACGCAATAGTCGTGAATATACTTTTCACTAGTGTTTTTCATATCGCGGGTGGAACCTCATTATCGAGGAATAGGTATTAGGAATCACGGATTCACCCATTCTCGAGGATTTGTGTTATCTAGAGTCTGACAACAGTGAGAAAGGAGTTCCCAATGTGATGATATCTACCCATAAATCATCTAGGAGCCTATAATGTTCCCAGGAAGGGAACTCATTTTGAATTTCCCACGGATGGCTAGGAACACATTCTTCAATCAGTTTTCCATTAGGAACATTTTACTCGTTGTTATCAGACCCTGGAGAACGTTACCTCTCAAAGCTAGATGGGTCTCTGATACCTACGTCGGAAACTGCGTAAAGAATGTGTTCCTGGCTATGTGGAAAATCCAAAACGAGTTCCCCCTGGGAACATTATAGGTTCACTGATGGGAATATCATTATATAAACACCACGAGATCAACTTGTGCTGATACCAAACCATAGGTTCTCTGACATGAGATCATTGTGGGGTTTACCTCGTGATTTCCTACAGCTGCATATTCGAATACTGCTAGTTGTTCCATCCGGTCAATCATGGTACCTGCGCACAGCGAAGGATTCTCTGGGACGACGCTCTCTCTAGTCCCCACGTAAAGGGTGTACTATGCAGACCCCGATCTGGTTGAAGCTCCTTATGAAGATTAAAGACGCGATGAATACCAGTGCTGCGGCTATACACAGCATGAAGATCTGACAACGGGGCGTAAACACGAACAACAACAACAACAACAACAACAACAACAACAACAACAACAACAACAACAAAAACAAAAACAACAACAAAAACATAGACAGCAGCAACAACAGCAACAACAACAACAACATAGACAGCAGCAGCAACAACAACAACAACAACAACAACAACAACAACAACAACAACAACAACAGCAGCAGGAAGGAGTATCAGCAGTCCCTCACCGTACCGAATCGAATGCAAACTCGATCCACAATGATTCAACATCGATAACCATGCTGGAGGGAGGAGGTCCGATTGTATCAGCCAAGCCAGCTTGCGAGAGCAGACGATTGAAGAACCTCTTACTTGCAAACCTAAACTCAACAACAACAACTACTACTGCTGCTGCTGTTACTGTACAGTTCATATCACATCACCTTTCTTCATCAAGACGATCGATTTCCCACGGCCCACTAAAGCCGCCAATCTTATAATAAATCTGATGATCACAGATTCGATTATCAAAAATTATGAAAAAATGTTGTATCAGTGGGCAGGTAGTATTACAACTGTATATCGATCTGGGATGCTTGCTAACAATAGCCGACTTTGAAGTTCCAATACGGACATCAACGAATCCTCACTGGCACCTGAGGTGAAGAAAAAGATCAACTCACTCGCAAGGATATACGACATTACCCCCATAACGGTAAAGAGCATCCACCAGTTGCAGTCCAGAAGTAGAGAAATGGATGGTCGTGTTGTCGTTGAACAAGTAAAGCGATGATATGAGCAAGATAACAAAGGCGAGGACCATCCTAATGGCAGTATCCTCAGCCATACTAGCGAGCTTAGCATACCTACAAGTAAACAAAGAGATGAACAACAAACACCCGGGTTCGATCCCGGGACATGTCGTTTTTACGTTCGAGTCCGCTGATTCAGCGTCTCCCGCGCACATCTCCTCAACTTATGCTCCCGATCAAGCTCTAGTACCTCTACCTATCATACCACACTTACTTGAAATGACCAACAAACGCATGAACTCACTTTGAACTCATCAAAGTCCATTCCCCCGATCGGAGGTACACGCGCTGACAAACACCATGCAACTACAACATGCACAAAAACAGCGACAAATTTTACCTGCCGTGTAACCCACGAACGTCGATTGCCTTCGAGGACGGTGAGCAAAATTCCGAGCGATCTAAATAATACCAAATAGGAGATAAGAGGGCGCTGTCGAAGATTCACTTTCGTTCTATCGCTGTCCGAGGCCAGGCCAAAGTAAGTCATAGCATGCACGAAATCATTAGGCCATATATAACCGTCGTTGTCCTCGTCCATACCTGCACTATCAGTATCAGAGAAAAATATATGTTCGCTTTCCACAGCCAAGTCGAGCAGTTTCATCAAAATTTTACATACTAATTCGGGTAGAAGTGTACAGAAACCTACGAGAATTTCGTCAATTTTTCTCACAATTTCCACAAATTTCACCAACACACTTGCATGTTTTCCCACACCGGACATTACAGAGAGCTCCTCCCTTCGAGTAACGACCAATTCATATCACACTACAACTGTTGAAAAATTCTAATTTCGGATGAATCGCATTTTCCTGTACCATATCATAAATGCGAGATTCTGTTTCCACAAAAAAATATTTTTTCCCAATCGCACAGAAGAAAAATGACAAATTACAAGTAGTGACATAACCTCAAACACATCGCTCTAAAAAATGCTACCATAAAATCAACACTTACATGCAAACATGAGTTGCAAACGACGATAGAGAATATCGTCCTCCAATTTCTTCATCTCATTCGCTCGGATGTGTTCCAGCAGCATGCCTAACCATCGTCATGACCTCTTATGCGATGCTGCTCACTTACCAAGTGCTTTGGCCATCCTATACAGACGAGTGAGCGTCAATACCCTCACCACTCGAGACAACTGCAGATGCTCAGCTGAAAATGATCACATTTCTCACTTAAAAACACTCGATAGTAAATTATAGTTTAGATAACTGCATAGTAAAAGATAGAAAAGGGTTTATATGATGGCATTGATAACATTACTCTATTATATATGGTTCGGGTATAACGGGTTGGTTACTGTTTAATACTATATGATGTATAGTAAATGATAGCGCGAGATGGCATGTTCGACAATATCTGTTTATCGTTGCTTCAGCCGATTACGATTTTCACAGTAGTAAATGATCATAGCAATGTTCACATTGGAGTCTCACCCGTTATATGAACAACACCACCGAAAAAAATTATAACATTCAACTTCACGAAAACGCATGTGAGCAGTGAATAACACGCAAAAACATAGAGTGTTTTTGTGATACGGGCTGATTTTTCAGCTGCAATTCGCGAAGCGCTTTTCACATAGAGGTTCACGCTATCTCGAATATAATGGGTGAAATTCCATTACATCTGCGATAATCATTAATCTCGGTGAAAAACGCCAATTTTTAATCAGATTCGTACATCAAATCGACAAGCAATATAATCGCCTTCATTTTCCTACTATTCAATGAACGTCAAAGGAACAAGTACAACTACATCGCAACTTACCCAAACCACTCTCGCTGAGCATAGGATAACCACGAAAATCTATCATCTCACTGAAACAGAAAATTCCCATCACCACAACATGCAAGTGCTTACTGAGCGATGTCCTTATCCGAGAGCTCGATGACGATATCGAATACCATGCTTAACGTGGCGATCTGCAAAGGAAAAAATCTTTCATGAAAATATCAATTTTTCCTCGACACATTCAGATTGGGCAAACTTATAAAAAAACTATTATTGATGGAGTTTCACAGGCGGCCGTGATATAAAAAACACTAGTGAGAAAATATATTTCAAGACTACTGCATATCACCGCGAATATCGCGTTCCCCACAGAGTATTACGCGGCCCCTTCACGTAAAACGGGTGGTGAAACTCCAATAATCATGATATGCAACAGGTCACTAGTCGTAGTATTAATCAACTATAACATAACACTTCATATAATCAATGGAATTTCACCCGTGATATGAAAAACACCAGTGAAAAACATATTTCGCAATTCACTTCCCGAAAAACTATTATTTAGCGGAAACATATACGTACTGTAATTTTTATGGAGTATTACGTAACTTCACGTTAACCAGCCGAATCGAAAATACGTGTATAAATTTGTCTTCATATATTCCCTAGTATACGCATATCAACGATGAAAACCCTAATATCAATGCGCTCGACTTTTCTTACTATGTCCAGGAATGCGACTAGTGATAAGAGGTATCTCGGGTCAACTACGGTTTTGATGACGATTTCGGCCGAGAATAGCACCTGAGCATCATCATCACCAACTGCAACAATCTCCTCGAGCTGATCATTAGCTCCAAACGCGCCACTGCTATTTAACTCCAAGTTTTTCTACCTTCTAGTAACAGACAGTGCGACAAGTGTCACCATAATTTTTCTACTGTACTGAAGTAACGGAATGGCCTTGATAAGGCGCTTATAGATGCGACCGGAGCTCTTGCTGAGCTCGCTAGTTTCGCGCGTTTAATCCTGACCCTCGAGCCTCAGGAATTTTGGGAATAATACGTGATGTGGTAATCGACTGTTTGGCTTACCGCAGCAACAAGTGTGATGTACCCGAAGACCTGGTCGCCAACGTTGCTATTATAAAGGGAGTTTATAGGAGGGGCCACTAGTGAGAATATCGTCAAGATATAGTACCTACAAACGCTCTCTATCGCACATTCTATACAAAAAATTTATTGTAAAATAGAAAAAATATGATTTATTAACATATGAAATATATTGAAGTTTCACCCTAGTGATATGAAAACACCGGTGAAAAACATATTTTACGACTACTGTATAGCGCCGCGAATATCGCGTTTTTCACCGAGTTTTACGCCGCCTCACGTAAAACTCCATTATATAAATTCCCTCACATATTATATTACATATAAAATACAAATAATCACCATCAGCTCGATATTCACACCGTCTCGAAAGTATGTGATTGTCGATAGAAATACAGTGATATTACAGTATGATAAAACCGGTGCTTTTCGTGGCCTTCTTCAATTTCCTCCGAAGCTTAGTAATTTTCTCCGTCAATCGTCCCTCCGTATGCTCGGCTCTATCTCGTCGCACTTTTTCAGATTCAAATCCGACCTGATCATATTACCAATACTAATTACAACTGAAATTATTGTTGCCCGCGACGATGATGATATTAAGAAACCGACTTTGAAATGGACGGAGACTATTTTCAGCATGTAAATGAAACAGTGGAGTTTCACCCGTGATGTGAAAAACCTATTCTAGAGTATCTCGAACATCGGCTTTTCACACAGTGTTTCGTGTGTACTACCCGTTCCCAGACCCTTTCTCTCCTCTGGACCTCATCAAAGGCCACGAAATTCTCAAATGCTCCACCATCATCATCATCATCTCCGCCTCCTGCACATTTACAGATCAACCCCCCTGCCATTGTTAGAGGCATACCATCAAAGTGAGCGCCGCTGCCTCCCTTCGTCGTCTTATCGTTGTTCTCGCCACGTGCACACTCTGAATGCAAGTATCATATTTCTGGGTCGACAACACTCCTTTGTAAAGCGATGTTCGTGCCCTTTCTCTGTAGTGCAAAATAAGACTACTGATATCATATTCTAGGAAATTTCCTCAACTACCTCATATAATAGAGTTTCACCCGTGATATGAAAAACACTAGTGAAAACCAAATTTCACGACTATTGCAAGGCGCGAATATCGCGTTTTCACGGAGTTTTATGCCACTTCACGTAGAACGGGTGAAACTCCAATGAATAAAACAACCTTGCGAAGCCAGCGAGGAGCTCGCGTCATCTGACCCCAGCGTACCAACAATAGCGTTGCCGAGCTCCTCATCATCATCATCGTTCTTCTTACCACGTGCAACACGATCGTCCGATCCGCTGTTTGATCGGAATCTTCTTCTTCGGAAGAAGCTGCCTGAATGCATTGAGTCCACAGCTAGTGATCCCCAAACGTGGCATACAATGATGATGTTGTTGTTGCTGTTCGTGTTGGGGTGACCAACACTCCTTGCAAGGTTCGCTATCATCACCATCTACGTCACCGGCGAGACTGTCTGTTGCTGAACCGGCTGAACGTTAAAACGGCGTTAGGTACTTCACTGGTGGTTGTTTACCATTTGCCGTGTTGAACATCATAGACCGCAATTTCTTCCAAGATGCTGCGACGTGCTCTGAGGGCTCCGAGGGAGGTACGTGAGCAGTGGAGAATTCAGAAAACTTCGTGTCATTGGTAGGATCTGAGACGCGTAGTGTTAGAGCGGGAGTCATATGATACTGCATATCGTAGTATTTTTTAGTCTAATCGGCAGTGCTGGACGCCTGCCATGCGAAAGACCCCAGGATCGAATCTTGGTTGATACATAAACTTTTACGCTACTCAAACCAGCTACTACCTATAGGCGGGTCTTCCGACGAAGGAAGGCTTGGCGGGGAAGATGTCCGATTCATTCTCGGGTTGTCCCTCATAGGCACAATGATTGACTGATGACAAGATTGAGATTGAGCTCTTCATCTCGTGACGTGCGGCTGAAAATGGCAGACATGCATTAAAATTGAGGCGGAGCGATGCACGGAGCTGTGTCCCTTGTGCAAGTCTTTCTCAATGACGCTTTTCCTCCTAGCCTGTGTTATTGTGATCCTGTCTCTTGACTACTGCTAGAGTAGGGGGATTGCATTGCATTTCATTCAGGTGTTGTCTAAAGGTGTCGGAGGATTAGTATTTTGCTACTTGTTTTCGTCGTTGATAAAAAGGGGTAAGTTGTGAGGTTTTCCTCCGTCGATTCGATTAGTACAATTCATTCGACGTATTGTATGCTTGTTCTCAAAATCATCGAGTATATTTCATGTTTTCCTTGTTGGGAACAGCCTATTGGAAATTGTCGGTGATTAGTAAGACCTTTGTAGTGCGTACGTAGTCTGAGGTCAGTTGATGCTGTTTTGCTCGTGTTGTGAGATTTACTCATGTAGTCGTTTTATCTCTTCTCTCGATTTCTTCGTATGTCTGAGAAGTCCAGCATTTCCACTAAAATCAGTGATTTTAGTGCCGACTCCGTTACGACTGGCGGTCGTCCCGACGGTTCGTCCAACTTCCGTACCGTCATCAACTTCGCTCTAGTCGCTGTCGGTGTTGGTATTCTTGCTTTACCACGTGCTATTGCCCAAGGTGGTTGGATCCTAGGCAGTGTTCTACTCGCAGTAGCATGGAGTGTTGCTCAATATGGAACGTATTTGCTTTATCGTTGTATGTACATGCACCCTAAAGGTGAGGAAAGGTTCGACTCTTTTCAAGCCATTGGTAAAGCATGTTTCGGTAAACCCGGTGAGATCTTCACCGCATTCGTCCAGTATCTGGATTTACTTCTGGTATGTTCTCTACTTGTCATTCTAGTCGGTGATGGTATGTACGAGTTGGTCCCCCAACTAGACCGTATTTGGTGGTGTGTCATATTCGTATGTGTTATGTTACCATTGGCTATGTTGCCCACTATGAAGGAGGTAGCTTTCGTTTCCTTCATTGGTATCACTGCTGCCTTTGTTACTGTCATTGCTGTCATTGGTGCTTCTGTAAGAGAGTCATCTGATCCGATCAAGGAGCACGAGCATTACCTCATGCCTCAGAACGCCAGTACAGCCGTTCTTGCATTCACCAACTTCATGAACGCCTTTGCTGTTACTACTGTTGTTCCGACACTTGTCGATAACATGCAAAAACCTAAGCAATTTCCTCGTGTGTTAGCCGCCGGTTTCTTCGTGATTGTTGCCATTTTCGCTGCAATTGCATATTCTGGTTATGCAGGCTTTGGCCACGATCTCCTCGACTACCCCAACATCACCTACGCTATTGCCTATGGTCGTTCTCGTGGTGACTGGTTGGTTATCATCGTTCAAGTGGCTATTGAAGTCGTTTGCTTTTCTCACTTCTTGGTAATGTTCAACCCGGTCTGTGTCGGTGTTGAGGATGCTCTTGAGGCGATTCATGGTGGCAAGGTTCGTCATTGGATTAAAATGATCTCTCGTGCTATTCTTATGGTCATTTGTTTCGTCATCGCCGTCAGTGTACCTGGTTTCGGTTCTCTCGTTGATCTCATTGGTGCTACTGCTGTTATGTTGCTTCAAATTGTATTTCCTGTTGTATTCTTCCTAGTCCTTGAGAGGAAGCGTGTTAAGATCGGCTTCAAGTCTGCATTTGGTAGTGTTGTTTCCAAATACGTGCAATACGTGGTGATGGCTATATGTCTAGTACTTGCTATCATTGGTATGATATTTGGTACATGGTCTGCTATCACTAACTGGTAAACAACTCTAATTTTGTGACTTTGATTGAGTACAGGTGTTCGTTGTTCAATCTGCCTACTCTTAACACTACTTCTACCACTCTTACTCCTACTAATACTACAACAGCTGTCCTAGTGGGCGAGTTCGGCTCGAAAAGCCAACTGCCCACGTTTCTCAAATTGTTTTCCGTAAAAACTCATATGTCGTCATCTTAGCAGTTGCCATTGCGATGGTTACCGCTGATTAAGCAGTCAAAAGTCATACGATTGTTGTCTAGTCGTCAAACATCTTCTGTTCTATTATTATTCGATTCCTATCATTCCTCCCAAATTGTCGGAACCTTTTCGTTCAACAAAGGTGGTCGTCAAATAGAAGACCATCTCGTTATCGATTAGGGAAGTTAACAATCGTGATGACTTAATTGTTATTGTTGTACAAGGTCGTAATAAAGGAAGGGTTGTGTTTTAGTAAGCTGCAAAAGAGAAACGTAAAAAGTCGTCGTACCTGTTGGGACGGCCGGGATCAATATTGTTTCAATTTGTGGCGGGTTGAGGGTGCAGTATCATAAAGGGCTCTACCGATACCATTAAAACTTGAACTTGTAGATAATCGAATGAGATGGTGGTATGTCAATTAAATCACTGTGTAAACTGCAATGATAAGGTTATTACTACAGAGGAAGTAGTACCGGGTGTTCAACACGATACAGTAATTGTTATATTTGATTGTTATACTATACTAGATTTGATGCAGACAGACTCTACTGATTATATCCAGGAATTGACTCCCCACCGTACTCCACGAAAAGCCTCCAGTTGGGACTAGTCGTTAATGTGCTGCTTGTTGTCAGTTGTTTGTATATTAGTAGTAATACTAAGAATTGTAAATCGATTTTCGTTGTCATTAATGTCTACGAGAAAGTCATCGTCAGTGAGTGCAGAGAAGCAGAAGCTCACTATGATGCTACAGGAGCATCATAGGTAGTTGTGGGGGGAATTCGCAGTGTTGGAGTAGGAATATATTTTTGCTTTCCTCAGCTGAGCTCAGGAGTTTCCTATACAGTGTTGGAGTAGGAATATATGTTCGCTTTCCTCAGCTGAGCTCTGGAGTTTCCTATACAGTGTTGGAGTAGGAATATATGTTCGCTTTCCTCAGCTGAGCTCTGGAGTTTTCTCATTAATTATAGAAGTTTATATACGAATTCAGGCAGAAGTGTGCAGAGATCAATAAAAATTTCCCGAAACTTCCTCACAATTTTCGTATTGTCACCAACATGTGCATATTCTCCCAGAGTGTATGTGACTGAACGCTAAAGTTGTCGTTGTTGGTGACAGTTCTCTGGCGAAAAAGCAAGGACCCGTGTCACCATCGGAGATCTCCCACGTAGGGCTAGACAGCAGTGAATCTGATGTCGATGACAATGACAATGTAAGCTGTTTCAAACAGGGGCTCATCTACCTTTGCGAAATAAAGTTCGCCAAGGTTTGATAACAATGGGGAAAATTTACATGGAAAACTGATTGAAGAATGTGTTCCTAGCCATCCGTGGAAAATTCAAAATGAGATCCCCTTCCTGGGAACATTATAGGCTCCTAGATAATTCCCTGGTCCTAAATATGGAGAAGGCCTGTCATGGGCGTTGTGGTGTTTTTTCATTTTGAAAGTGTGGGAATTTTAACGGCTTGAAATTGAGTTTACAAACTCTCGAAAAATTTCCCAGAATTGCTGCAGATCCAACTAGAACAAGGAGATTTGTTCGGGCTAGTGTTGTAGTATATGTTTGCTTTTCCCCACTGAGCTCAGGAGCTTCTCATTAGGATAGAGTTATATGAATTTCAACCAAATTTTTCTCAGAATTTCCATATTGTCACCAACAAACGTAGTGTTTGACCATGTGCATATTTTCCCACACTGGTTTCGGTCTGAATTCGTTCCCTACAAATAACAGTTTATATACGTAAATGCGAATGTGTGCTGGACGTGCTGAGCTGAAATAAACATTCGTGGTGAGATTCGAAGGGAAAGTTGACTGGTTATTCGATTGTTCTATATTTAACAATGATGAATGTTTTCACTCAGAATGACCATATTTTCCCTCCAGGGCTTGGTCATGGTATAGCTCCACAGATAGGGCGAGCGGTGGATGAAGGTTCGTCGCGATATTTAGAGATGTATTTTTATTGTTGTTCGTTAGTTGTTGATGATGATATTTGTACTACTACCTCTACTGCGGCGTGGAAAGGCGATGTGTTGGAGTTGGACTCAGCTCACCCTAAGTTTACCATTGATGGTGACACTATTGTAATAACAGTAGTTTCTATATTATTGGTCACTGGCATCGATAGTGGTTAGTTGCGTACGTTTATAAGGAGTCTTTGGCGTGGCTTCGGAGAATTCTTTTATATTGTTTATTTCTCTTGGCGTTTAATCTTGGGTATTTTTGGTGTTTTTTCTCGGTTTTTTCTTGGCGTTTTTTCTTGGGTTTTTTGGTGTTTTTCTTGGGGCGTTTGGCGTTCTTCTCAGCTTTACTATTAAGAGCAATGGAGAACTCAGTTTGTATGGCGATGTGTTTTAGGTAGAGCATGTTATCAAACAGAAGGACGGGCCCTTTAAGAAGGCTTTCGATCTAGCTGGGGTTAAAAGAAGTGGTAATAGGAGATGGTGAATGTTGGTGTTGTTAAGAAGCATTTAGATGACACTATAGAGGAAGTACGACGAGGCGTAGCGGTAACTCATTCACATATTGCTAGTGTGGCGAGGAAGGGGACGGTGAGTGGTCCTGGGGGGGATGGCTTTGGTCAGTCGAACTCAGTGATCGGAGTAGTTTAGAGCTTTCGCTACAGTACTCAATGGAGTTTCACCCGCGATATGAAAAACAAAATTGTGAGTAACATATTTCAGGACTACTGTGTAGCGCAAATATCGCGTTCTTCGCCGAGTTTTACGCTACTTCACGTAAAACGGGTGAAACTCTAATGTGGCATTATAGTGAGTGCAGTGTTGGAATATATATATGGAGATATTAGCTATCAGCACCTCGCGGTGTTATCATTGCAGTGTTGGCCTGTAGTCTGATCTTCTAGTACTGACTATGTGAGCTTATAGTAGATGTAGGGAAGAGGAGAGTCATGGGAGCTCCTTCCTGTTGGCTGATTAGGGGGGGGGGGTTCTTAATGTTCCATAAAGTTGCCTTCCTTAGATGCGTGCAGTGGACTTGGACAGTTCGAGTGAAAGGGAGCCCCATAGGTAGTAGTAGTAGTAGTAGTAGTAGTAGTAGTAGTAGTAGGCTACTGTGCATCTGTCACACTTTCGCATAATGCAGTGTTTTGCATGAAGTTTCTCGTCAGTGGTTGTAGAGTAATGGCCTCAGTCAGGTTTGAAGTATTGTCCAATTCGAGAAGAGTGTACGACTTGGAGGCATGCGAGGGCAGGGGTAGGTCATGGGAGCTTCATCCGTTTAACGTCAAGTGGTGGAAGTTATCGGACGTATATGTTTCCCCGACTGATCACATGATTGGCTCCTACAAGTGTTTCTCATAACAGTGGTTAAACTCCATGGATGATGCTCATCCGCACAGTCTTCGGATGAATCGTTCTGAGCACTCTGAAACATTGTATGAGCTGCTCCTAAGGCTTAGCCTCTTGTTGAGTACCTACTCTCCAGCCACCGTCGAGTATCCATGGGAGTAGTGGTGATGATGTTGTTGTTTCCTATTGTCAGATGGGTCTTCATATGTTGTATGTACTGATGGTATGTACGACGTTGCGGTTAGTCGTTTCTCGCCGTGTACGGGGGCCAGACGGGACGCGGGGATTGCTGGATGTGAACTGTGAGAAATGGGTTGCATCGGCCTGTTGATGGATTTTGGGTCGAGGTGTGGTATCAGTAAGATGAATAGAGGTTACCTTGTGGGGACCTATTTGTTGTGATATGATGAGGTATACCACACGTCTCCGACATCCCATTTCTAATAGCTGTGAGGGATACCTTATTCAGTGTTGGAGTAGGAATATATGTTCGCTTTTCTCAGCTGAACTCAGGAGTTTCCTATACAGTGTTGGAGTAGGAGTATATGTTCGCTTTCCTCAGCTGAGCTCAGGGGTTTCCTATACAGTGTTGGAGTAGGAATATATGTTTGCTTTCCTCAGCTGAGCTCTGGAGTTTCCTCACTAATTATAGAAGTTTATATATGAACTCGGGTAGAAGTTTGCAGAAATAACAGTAATTTCCAAAAATTTCCTCCAAATTTCCATACTGTCACTAAAACACGTAGTTGACCATGTGCATATCCTCCTCCCACACTGGACTTCAGTCTTCTGTTGGTAGGTACATTCACTTGGAAGGAGAGGAGCGTTCTGAGGTAGCTGAGGTCCATTGGTGTCCTATGGTCGTCGAGGGTATGAGTGACAACGATGATGGTGTTGATATCGATCATGTCTTCTTCACAGTGAGTACACCCCTAAGCTTGTCGCATCTCCTCCCATCATCTCCTTGATAGGTCCATGCTGATGGTTCCCTGTGCTTTTGGAGTCTTCGTCATGTGAGAGCGATAGTGGCTGCTGGATCGTAAGGGGGGGTGGGCGGTTGGGTAGCTGTTATTGGCACATGCGTTCGCTGATTGGTGATCAGTGTTGGAGTAGGAATATAGGTTCGCTTTTCTCAGCTGAGCTCGGGAGTTTCCTATACAGTGTTGGAGTAGGAATATAGGTTCGCTTTTCTCAGCTGAGCTCGGGAGTTTCCAATACAGTGTTGGAGTAGGAATATATGTTCGCTTTTCTCAGCTGAGCTCGGGAGTTTCCTATACAGTGTTGGAGTGGGAATATATGTTCGCTTTTCTCAGCTGAGCTCGGGAGTTTCCTATACAGTGTTGGAGTAGGAATATATGTTCGCTTTTCTCAGCTGAGCTCGGGAGTTTCCTATACAGTGTTGGAGTGGGAATATATGTTCGCTTTTCTCAGCTGAGCTCTGGAGTTTCCTATACAGTGTTGGAGTAGGAATATATGTTTGCTTTTCTCAGCTGAGCTCGGGAGTTTCCGTATACGGACTAGGGTAGGAATGTACAGAAACCAACGAGAATTTCTTCAGAATTTCCGCAAATGTCACCAACACCATGTGCATATTTTCCCACACTGCTGTTGATCGCTCAAATATGCATTGATTACCGTTACTCGTTGAATATTTCTATGAGTGTTGGAGGAATACATGTTCGCTCTCCACAGCTAAGTCAAGGAGTTTCATCATTAGTTATAGAAGTTTACATACAAGTTCGGGTAGAAATGTGAAGAAACCAACAAAAATTTCTTCAAATTTCCTCAGAATTTCCACAAATGTCACCAACACCATGTGCATGTTTTCCCTAACCGTCGGTTCTGCTATACTCCTCTTCTCTCAGGCATCCGGTAGCATCGAACTGCCCCCAAGGGTTTTCGAGGGTCTCTATAGAAGTTCGGAAGTGCGAGGATGTGTGTTTGCACGTTTACAGACAGGCTGCGGCGCATTACAAGGTAAGTTAGTCATACCATAATTCTCTCGACTCGTAGTTGGCCGACCGATCTTCTTCAGGAGACGGACTCAGTTGATGACGGCAGTGGTAGGGAACTTGGTAGGGGAGGCATTGGCTCCTCCATCGGTCGTCGTTTAGATACATCAGCCACTGCTGAGGGTAGAGTTGCGGCTTCTATATCGACTGATGGTAGGCTTAGGGTCGATGGGCTCACTCGTTATAGTAGTCGCCGACTTTACAAAGTTTCAGTGACTTGTTATTTTAACAAGTTCTATCCGTTAGAATTTATGCGGACTTTTTCGAGTAGAGAAACGCTGGGAAGTTCCTCATTGTGAATGCGGCAATCTTGTGAAGGTTGTAATGATGGAGTTTCACCTGTGATATGTGAACACTAGTGAAAAATGTATTTCACGACTACTGCATATCACCGCGAACATCGGTTTTTTTATAGAGTATTACGTAAAACGGGTGAAACTTTAATGAGGTCGATCGAAGTGTCATCAGGTTCACGACTGGCGACTGCTTGTGGATCGCATGTCCGCTACTTCACAGTAAACCCAAGCTCCTGGGAGGTACATATAATTGCTGAACATGATATAGGTAGGGGAAACCTCATAGTTGTATGTATTGTATTCTCACTCTGTTAGCTTCGGGAGAGGAAGTTCGAGGCATCAAGTAAGAAAAACGCGAGGTGTGGGGATCGAACTTGGGACCTCAGGTCCGCTATCATCGGCTGCACTGAGACTATCTTCATAATACTCGAGAAGGCACTGGTGATCGCCCTGCAGTTCAAAGGAGAAATTCAAATTGGACAAGTCATTCGCCTCACAAGTGCCTCGTCGGTGAGTGCTCATCTTAACTGATACAGCATACACGCTCTATGTTGGATTGTGGTGAAGGAGGGCGTTCAGTTTGAATTTAGTGACACTAGGAATTCACGAGAGGCAGTCGTGTAAATTTACGCGCGGTTTACGGTAGGATGCCCACACTTTCCGGATATTCCCTCATTTTATCAACGCGCACATTCTACCTTGTGAATATTCCCCCCCCCCCCCCTCGGTTTCGAATTTCTATGGGAGTTTGTCAGGTGTCGTTCGTCGGCAGTGTTGATGCTGTGACGCTAGAGGCAGTAGTTCCTGAGGCTGCCTCAGTGGACACCGAGGAGCTCACTGTGGAGGCCCCGTCGGAAACCCTCACGATAGCCCTGCTCACACAAGCAACTCTTTGCAAGTCCTATTGGATGCTCCTATCGGCGGGCAGTATTACCTTTTATGAAGTTGAGGGCGTTGGTAAAAAAGAATTTATCATGGCTCCTAGTAGTAGGAGAGGATGATTTAGGTATAGCGAGTGGCTTTGTCGCACACAGTAACCCGAATCCATCAGCATATACGATGGTCACTTGGTCGGTAGGCGACCCTGGACAACCCAAATATCAATATCTTTATAGTGGGAATGAGAAGAAGGGAAGTGGTGCCTTGTTGTGGTAGTGTGTGATAGGTAACGGTGCAGTGTTGGAGTTGGATCGAATAGCGACAGTGTTGAAGGAGGCAGCTGAGAAGAGGACGGGTGATGGAGTTGAGGACATTGAGTCGGAGAAGAAGCTGATCACAGGTTGGCAAGGGGAGCTGGCGGATATGTTATGTGTTGGTTTCGAATACGTGTGGGGCGTGCAGTCCCCTCAGTGGTGTTTCGCCCGTTTTACGTGAAGTGGTGTGATACTCTATGTGGGAAAAACGCGATAGTCACGATATGAAGTGAATTGGAAATACTTCGCGAATAATACCGGACAAATCGCCCCATATCACGTGAAACACATCACGTGTTTTATGCGTTATTCACTGATCACAGGCGTTTTTGGCGAAGTGAAACGCGAAATAGGTTATTCGGGGTTTTTTCATACCTCGGGTGAAACTGCACTATGTATGTAAGAAGTATCTGCTTGACCAGGCATTATTACAACTAGTTGGATCACATGCTCTACCTCAAGAAGTAGTAATGCTATTTTGTCAGAGACTGTCGAGGAGAAGAGCGAGCCTCCGAGGAGTGGCGGCATGAAAGCAAGCGACTTGATAAAGCAAATGCAGAAAATCCGTAGTGCGCAGCAAGCTGCTAAGTTGAGTGATGCGGCGACTACAGCTGCTTTGGAGGTACGCGTTGGTAGTCCCTTTAGGGGACGGCGAACTGCCAGGCAGTAGAGTGCTGCGATAGTGGTTGTAGCAGTGTTGGAATATATGTTCAGCTGAGCTCAAGAGTTTATATATGAATTCGAATAGGAATATACAGAAACTGATGAGAATTCCCATAAAAGAATTCTCAGAATTTCCATATTGTCACCGACACATGTTGATGATCATTTGCGTATTTTCCCGCCTACACTGGGTTCTAGTGTCGTCTTATCAGGTCAGTGGGGCTCCTCTGCCGGGGGAGATATCCTCAGGGGAAGAAGTTGAGGAAGGTGTGGTATCATCATCATCACCAAGGCAGTCTTATCCACTATCAGGCGCTGCTAGGACGATCTCAGAAGAGGAGTCAGTTGCTGCTGCTGATGACCATGACTCTGCTATGGCGCAATCACCGGCTGGGAAGGGCTCGTCGAACGCTAGGAGGACCGGTCGGTGCAAGGGGTTGACGCTGTTGTATTGACGAGGTCTTGTCAGGTCCGGCGTCTGAGTCAGTGGGTAGTAGTCTGTCGCCGAGGAAAGGAGTAATAGCATCGACAGCAGCAGCAGCAGTGGTAGGAGAGCAGGAGAAGGAGCCTCTTTCGGTGAGCTTGAATGCCGGTTGTTATCGTGCATGCCTCAATATATGATGAATGTGTGACTGAGAAATTTCAGGAGAAGTTTGTCCCAAGCAGTGATCCGCTGACGGCCAGACAAGTGCGGAAGTTCATCAGGTTCCTTGCGGATAGTGTTCAGGTCGCTTGCCAGAAGGTGAGCTTGCTTCTCATAGAATATGGTGTATATTTACTACACTGTTGCAGACGGTCGAGGCTGCTTCCTCGGAGGAGCCAGTTGAGGTGGACGGATCGCTCAGCACGGAGGTGGGCAAGCTGAGCCGATGCCTGGCCGAGGATATGACGCCGGAGGCTCTGGTGAGCAGCAGTGTGGGGGGGAATAGTCACAAAGTCAACTACATGTGTTGATGACAGTATTTTGAGGAGAGTTAGGGAATTTCTCGTTGGTTTCTGAACATGTCTATCCAAATTCGTGAGGAAACATAAATTCGTGGAAATATGAATGATGCTATTGAGCGCCGCGTTGAACGTCCTTATGCTTGTCTATGCAGACCGGCCATATGATGGTATCGGATAAGGTCTGGCGAGGTGTCAGACGGCTGTCGAGCTCTGTTGATGGCGCCGGCGAGGAGGTCACTTCGGAAGTGGCCAGGACCCTGCCTGGCATCGTGAAGGTGAGTCGAGTAGCGTCGTTGTAGAGGTGTGTCTCGGAAGCGGTGATTTGTAGGAGCTTTTTGTGGAGAAGGCGGTCCCTGCAGTGGTGGAGGCACTGGAGGATAAGGTCACGGAAAGTGAGTGTGAACGGTCCGATCAGCTGAGCTAAGGAGTTTCCTCACTAATTATAGATGTTTACACAAACTTGGTGTAGAAATGCACAGGAACAAATAGGAATTTTTTCAAATTTCCTGGAAATTTTCATACTGTCGTCAACATACGTAGTTGACCATGTGCATATTTTATGAGACTGGTCCGATCTGTGAGGAAAGGGTTGTTCTTGTTGTCAGTCAACACCTTTGAGCAACCCGATTCGTCCGCGAACGAAGGTGCACTTGGGAGCCTCGCTGACGATATAGTCCGCGTGGACGAGGAAGTCCGTGGTCTTGGGGTTAGTTTGGGACAGATGGAAGTAAGTGAGGCTGGATGCTGTAGCGATGGGCAGCACCCATCTACCTTTGAGAAATAACCTTCCCTAGAGTTTGATAAGAATGGGGAAAATGTTTCTAATGTGATGACATCTATTGAAGAATGTGTTCCCCTGGGAACATTATTGGTGTTTGGGTGAAGGTTGCTCTTTGTAGGCTATACTGCGACGGACGGAGCATCAGGCGGCTGAGAGCATGGGCAACCAGCAGGAATCGGTGAGATTGATTCGTATAGCGATTGCTTACTGTATGGTAGGTCCTTGGCATTGTTGAGATAATAGAGGCTCTGAAGGCGTCAGGGATTGGCAGAAGAAGCGGCTCCGCTTCGGAGTCTATTGATGCATCACAGGTAGGCTATGGTTGTAGTATTTGAAGTTAGTTTGGTATGTAGATAGCAGCGTCGGTGGCGATGGGTCTCCAGGATGATATTGAGGAACTGAATGAGCAGGCCAGTGAACTGAGGGCTGATGTGGATAGACTGCATACTCGTGCTGGTGCGTAGGAGGGGATCATGCTGTTGGGAATTGTCGATGTGTCGATGGTCAGGTGAGGCTCCACCGAGTTCGTCGTATCTGCAAGCGGACCCGAGGCCTGATTGGCAGAGAGTGAAAGAGTATCTTAGGTGAGATTGGGCTGGACGAGAATCTTCATAGTGCGCTAGTCAAGATTGTCCTCATGTGATTGTCATTATCGAGATGAGGTATCACTGCTTTGAAGTTTGGATGTAGTGTGTTAGGCAGAGATACCTACAAAATTGTCGGATGTAGTCCAGTGTTAGAGGGCTATATGCTAAGTGCCCTCAGCTAAGTTCGGTAGTTTCCTTCATAGGCGTTCACATTCGATTGGGGGTAGAAGTGTACAGAAACCAATAGGAACTCCCTCAGCATCTTTATACTGTCACCAATACACGTAGTTGATCATGTGCATATTTTCCCATACCTATGAAGTATAGGAAAGTATAAAGCTTTGGATAAACTTACATGTCAGGTCACAGCAGTATCACTGGGCTGTCGCTACTGCCCTTGAGATTAGGGAGAACACATCGAGTATTCTGGTAGGCTCCATTGAATGAATGCTGATGGATGAGAACATTTTCTTAGCCTCCCATGAGACCGGAGCGCCTTCAGGATGATTTAGTGGGGTTCGCCTGTTTCGAAGTGGATAAGCTGGCTAGTGTGGATTCGTTCGTACGGAGCGTCGCTGGTGTTGGTGAGTAGTTTACGCACTGTCGGAGTGTTTACGAATTGTCGGTGTTAGAATATATGTTCGCATTCCTTAGCTGAGTTCAGGAGTTTACACATAAGTTTGGGTAGAAGTGTGCAGAAACCAACAAGAATTTCTCCAGAATTTCCTCAGAATTTTCATATTCTCTCCCACATATGTAGTTGACTTTGTGCATATTTTCCCACACTGCGAATAGTTAAAGTGTTTTTCCAGATTCTCCCTCCCGCACGTGGCCACAGGAAAAGTGCGATCGTCTGAACTTAGCGTTAATGCAGATGTTACGATTGGTCGACTATCTAGTCTGGGCGAGCGCTACCTTCACAGCCTCAGAGGATCTCGGCAGTCTAGAGTCGGTCGTTAGAGTGATCGGGTAGGTCTGTGAGCATTGAGTGTAGCGCTGGACAGTTGCTGTCAGATTGGACGCTAATGCGGTTGAGGAGCTCTGCAGGGCTGGGGCTGCCCAGAGGCCGGATATGGTCAATCAGAGCCTCTCTCGAGTCGTCACTCGTCTGCGTGCTGTCAAATTCCGATCGTCGGGGGTAAGTATGACGTTGCTACTACTTCGTGGTCTTTATGGGCGCATTATACTGTTCTGTGTTGCCCACGTGTGTATGATAGTGTCCTGTGTCCTTCACGGGTGTATTATACTAGCAATATAATATCACTTTATGATTTCCGCGGTTGCATGCTACTGTTGGTGATTCAGATGCGACTGGCTGTTACCGAGCTACGGTCACATCTGTTGAGCATTCAGAACGACGGTGTCTTTCGGCGGTCTCAACCATTGGGTAAGAGTCGATCACGAGATGACCGATAGCAATTTTCTCCTTCCCAGCCGCTCCTATGCCGTCCTGGAACAACCCCGGAAACGCCGAGTCACCTTTGATGAGTGGATCGTTGAGGAGCTCATTGGGTTAGAATATGGTACGCCCTGAGTCGTGAAGTTCGCCTGATTTGATCACCGACTATTACTCCCGTTTACTGTGTCCAGAGTACCATTGGGTAGTTTGTATCTCCTTTGGGTGTAAGATGTGGTTGTGTTACGAGTTTGGTCTGTAGTCGTTGAAGCTGCAACTTTGCAGTGATGCATCCGCACATCTCAGTGAGGAGAAACTCGAAGCCCTAGAGCAGGGCCCGTGCGCTAATACAGCGGAAGATGCGATAGATATCTCATCTATTTCCGTGAGCTTTTTCGTCGTGCGAAAGCGATTGTGATAGTGGTTGAAAATCATGTGTGACCGAACGATTATCTGGTTCGGTCTGTTGACACAAGAGGATGCATCTCGAGTGATTGCAAGATACTCCCGTCTTCTCACGCCATCTACATGAGGATAAAGGTCAGGTGCGAATTTTGGATATAATGCAACTCGAGAGGACAAGCAGAATATTGCAACGTACACAACAATCTTGAATCACGCTCAGTAACTCTGCATCTTGGGTTGGCTACTCTCACGTATCGGATTCATAGGGTCAATTTACTCAATAATTTCACTCTTGCGCCAGGACGCGACTTGCGCAAGATTTTTCCAACCTGCGCTGTGCTGACCCTCAGGCAGCGCAGGATTCTATGGCGCTCGCCTAGAATCTAACCGTTTCAATCAAAGGCTTTATTGGACTAAAATACTGGATTTAAGTTCGTTTGATCCTTGTGATCTACCCGTCCGTCTACTCTGGTGGTCTATCATCGATCTCTATTGTGATCTCTATCTCGTCTACATATAGAACTGTATCTGATCTGTATTATCTATGCATTCTATTAGTGAGTCGCCGCATTGTGTTATGCAGCTGTCGGATTCTGGGCTCAGTTCTAGTGAACGCTTTACACCTGTGCAATCTACTTCGCACATCGAACCACCCTCCAGAAATTCTGAAATTTCTGGTACCTGTTTACGCCCATTGTCCGCACATTTTACCGGGATTTCCTACCGAACCTCTGCGTTCACTATGTCGTCATCTATGCCTCAGCTTCTACCTGCTGGATCTAGCTCCAGCTCGGCAAGCTTATCTCCTTTAAGAAGGCGTTCTATGCTCCGCCATCGTTCTCTTCCCTCGAGAACACAAGAAGTTCGAGGCCGGTCTACTGTCTATGACCACGACGACCCTCAAGGAAATCTATCGTCATCTTTTAACGATGGTATGGTACCTCAACACTCTACTGTTGAGGCTGGTCCTGAGATCTACGTTGAGCACAACGATGTTCTAGTCCTACCTATGAGTAATGGTATTTCTGGTTGTCTGGGCGACAACGTTAACGACAAGCATTCTATCGGTTCTATCGTAACTGGTAACTCTAATGCTCTGTTTAACGGTAAGGAAGATTCGTCTTCCGTCTACCCTGATCGGATGCACTGCACTCCGACATTCGGCAACGATTCTTCTACTAGTGCTGTTTCTATCTCCGATGGTCGCGGTCTACGTGGTTTACCTATTAATCTGGGTACTGTCTACATGACTGGTGTCACAAGAACGCCGACCCTTAAAGCCTCTACTAAGAAGCGTGCTATTAGCGCTACTCGTCATTCCTCTAGAATTGCCAAGCCTTGCGCTGATTCTATTGAAAATGAAAGTTCCTTATCTAACAAGGAACGTCGGTCTAGTCTCGGTGATATATCCGATGCTACTAATGGTAAGTCTGTATCTACTCCCAAGAATGGTAACTCTGGTGATGATCCGGTTCCTCAACCTTCTGCTTCGTCGTCTAGTGGGTTTAAGACTATTGAGGCTGACTCCACTACACCCCTCGAGGGTAATGGTGACAGTTCTAATATATCGGGTAATGATGATCTGGCTAATTCTAGTAAGAAGACTGTTGCTACGGCTGTACCCTCTGCTGTTAATGTTCTTAATGGTAATGGTATCTCTAGCCAACATCCCAACACTACTGCTAAGCACTCTACTGGCCCTGTTAATGCTACTATGCCGGTTACTCCTATTGTGCACCAAGGATTCGTCCAGCCTACTAATCCTATTATCGATGGATCTACGGGTTTCTATCCTATTCCTGTTAACCCTTTTTCATCTAATGCGCAGTCAAGTGTTGGTGCCTCTAATTTCCAATGGGGCTACATCCCTGGCCCTAATGGGGGCTTATCTCTAGTCCCCTATTCGGTTGTTGGTTCTCCATCTATGATGCCCTCTATGCCTATTGGTGTAACTGGTACTAATACTACCGACGTTGGCCACGAATTACAACAACCATCTACTCAAGGTCCTCTATCCCTTGACCGATATCAAAACGGTCAGATTGCTTCTCGTGGTTCTCGCTGTTCTAGTCGCTCCGTTCGTGAGTCCTCTAGGGACAGGAGAATTGGTGATTTTTGCCACTCTAGGGACTCCGGCCATGGGTCACCTAGGAGTAGACAAGATCACATCTCTGTTGCATCTAGCCAACATAGTTCCTGCTGCTCTAGAGCTTCTGAGTCCTCTAGGGACAAGGGCTCCTCTAGTTCTCGTCATTCTAGTCGACCTCCTAGGAAGACTTCTAAGAATGAGAGTTCAAATGGTTCACGCCACTCTCGTCGTCGTGAAGATTCTAAGCGTTCCCAAGGCTCTAAGTCTTCTACGTCTTCTAGAAGGTCTTCGTTATTATCTGGCGACGGCGAACCACCTCGTCGATCTCCATCTAATGTGCCCAAGACCGGTCTAGCTGATGGATTTGTCCCAACTTCCGCTCAAGGTGGTCTCTATGGTAGTCGCTTTTATCAACCCCCTAATCGTGCTCCTCCCTCTTACGGTGCTATTTGTCCGGGTTGCGGTTCTCAACCCTGTCGAGCTAAGATTTCTACTAAAGAATTCGAAGCCGCTAGGTCCATCGCCGAGAAGAAGCCTCTAAAGCCTATCTTCAAGGGAGAAGGGGATTCGAGAAGTGGTTCTACTATTGTTAGAGAGATCGACTTTGTTTTAGAAGGTCATGATGCGGTCACTCGGTATCTATGGGCTAATAGTAATATTGAGCCCTCTACTTGGCGCAAGCTCATCAAGGGTACTCAACCCCCTGCTAAGTGTTATCTAGACTATGAGAAACATCTCGCGCGTCTACAGCGTCAACTCCGTTCCTTCTACGATGATGAAGATTCTATTGCTAAGGCTAAGATTTCATTCTTCATGTGTGAGCAAGGAACTTCTGAGTCTCTATCTGACTATGTCAAGAGACTAGAGTCTACTGTTACTGAGCTGCATCTAATGGGTATTATGACTTATGAGTATGATATGAAGAGAAGACTATATGATGGTCTACAGGCTGATTATCTACGTGATAAGGTCGACAGGGAGTTAGGTGATTCTACTATTACGTTCGATGAGTTCGTGCGTCTACTGACTGGCTATGAACGTCGTCGATTGGGTAGAGTCCGCCGTCAAGCTCTATACAACCAAGTGGCAAATACCTATTCAAAATCGTCTAATGAATCTGGCAAAACTACTAAGGCTGATAAGAACCCCAAGTCTAGAGGTTATCCTAATCCTAATTCTCAGAAGGTTAATACGGTTGTCGGTGATGTCGACGATGACTCTAACCTCGATGCCCACGTCTATGCTGTTGGCGCCGACTCTATGTCTATACAATGTTATCGTTGCACCGGCGTTGGTCATCCGGCTAGACTCTGTCGAGGCAAGGTGAGCAATTTAAGCTCAAGGTGCAACAAGTGCGGTAACTCTAATCATGTTACCGATCAGTGCAATGTTCCCGACAAGAGTCTCTATTGTCAGAGATGTCGTAAGAAAGGACATCTAGCCTATGTCTGTCGGGCCGACAAACCGGTCGATGGTATATCTAAACCAGCTAAGAAGAACAATAAGAAGTCTAGTGAGGTTCAAGTTGAGAGCAAAAAGAAGCCTGTCAAGGACGAGCCCTCTACGCCGACTCCTAATGCCAAGGTTACTAATCCTAAGACCAAGGCCCATCTAGTCTCACGTGAGGATGCTGAATCCTACCTTAGAGTCTCTACTCTAGAAGGTTCAGATTCACAGTGCTCTAAGTACAATGCTCTCCACTCATCGTCTCCCGACTCTACGGCAACATCTAGTACGTCCAGCTCTAGAATCTCAATGGTTGTCGGTGATCTGTCTATCTGTGGTACTATCCGGCCAGTACTCTATGATACAGGTGCAGACGTATCACTAATTGCAGTCTCTACACTGCGTCGTCTAATAATAAGGAGCTCCGCTTCGATGATCCTTCGGCTCTCGGTCATATTAATGTCGCCAATGGCTCTACCTTGTCAGTTCTCGGTAAAGTCGAGCTAGAGGTTGGATATGGCTCTACATTCGTCAAGGACTCCTTCCTTTTGGCCTCTAATGAACTCAGTACTCCAGTCATCATTGGTTGTTCTACGATGGCTAAACTTCGTACCACTATAAGTCTATCGCCAGAAGGTATCCAAGTCATCATCGGTGGTTCTACTGGTTCATCTAAAGTTAACGCTCTAGATCTTCTAGATGGTCGCTTGTCTGTCAAGGAGATGGATTGGGCTAGGAAGGTTATGGTTATGCAGGTCAGTCATTACTCTAAGGTTGTGCCAAGTCTACGTGATCTAACGGTCAAGTCTTCTTTAACTATCGAGTCCCTTGCCAAAGCCAACTCTCTAAGTGGTCCGATTGGTCTTTATCAAGATCTCTATCACGAATCGTGATTCACGATGCTAAGATTTATCCTACTGATGATACGTCTTTCGGTATGGATGATACTCTACTCGTTGACGAATCGGATAGAGAGTCTACAAGGCGTGATCAACTTCCCCCTTGGGACCCTATATCTAGGTCATGGGTCTACGAATCTGATGCTCCATTAGGTAGAGCCCATACTAAGGGTCCCCTGGTGGGATGGTTCCCGTCCAGAGTATAATTCCTATCATGCTGCTAAACGTGGTCTAGCTTCTATAGCTAAACTCGACAAGGAGCGTCATTCTATATTTGAAGTTGCTTTATCTCAACTTATTGATAAGGGTTTTTGCTCTATTGTTTGTGATCTACGTCAGGGACCCTGACTCAGGGTATCAAGAAGCCTACCAATTCTATGTGCTCTAAAGCATGGTCTAAGTTAACTAGTGGTACTATCTATGAAGGGTGTAATGTTCCTTTACCGGAGCACTGTACGCCTTCGCATAGCTCAAAGTCGACGCTCGGCTCGGCGGAGCCTCGAAGCTCGACTCGTTTTTCGGTCGAGCTCGGTCGAGTCCCGACGAGCCTCGAAGAGGCAACCCGCATGGTATGCGAAGTTCGCATTGCGAAGTGTGACTAAGGCGCCGCCACGGTGGTCGTTGTCCGCCCAAGGCGGACCGACAAAAATTAGCTTCGCGTTCTTCCACTATCTAAGAACCCGAAAGCTCACGGATATGATATTCGAGGCACCGAAGTTCAGCAATCGTTGACATCGACGGTCAAATTCCCTCCACGCTCCCTCACTCTATAGTTCACTGAATCTGGGTTTATACTTGAACTGTATCAGAATAGCCACGGATATGATATTCATCTCAGTTCTTGCTAATTCACATGCCGAGATGTTCTCGTGCTCCTGCCGAGCTACATCAACTATTGGACCGATCGGAGAACCAAAGATGCGCTGGTACTGCATTTCGACTTGAGTTCGCTGAGGATCGATTCTAGGAATGTCGAATTAGAACTCGGATCGGCCGAGCCCGACTATCGAACTATTAGCGTCATGCTAGTCACTCAGTGTCACGCTGAGTGGCTGACTCGCTAGGCACTCACACGCTGACAGCGCGTCTAGCGACAGACTTGTGGTCTCTTTCTCAGATTATGGGGAAGAGAATCCCCGGTGGTCTAGCATCATAACTCGGAACATTCATATGTTTTGAATGCAGTAGAATACACATGAAGCTCGGAGTGAATGTGTCGGTAATGAAGACTCTTGATTTAAGAGTGTTTCGTTGGATCAATGGAATCAAACCTAAGTGAACCTTTCGATGTTTGAACATTGCAAGTTTGAACCGTTCAAATTGAACGGTATCTGTGAACGTTATGTTCACAGTCTGTGAACATAGCGTTCATTCACAGATGCGTACCTGACAGCTGAAGTCTTCCAATGGAAGGCTTCCATAGACCTGGCTGAACCTAGTTGGCATTAGTCACAGCTAGCACCTATTGAGTCAATGGCATTGACCACCTTCCGGCATGCCGAGTCCGGCGAGTCGAGTCGAGGCCCTCTGATTTTCGACGAGTCGAACTCGGTCGAGCCCGGTGGCGGAGAAATGTCGAGTCGAGGCGAGCCCTGCAGCTCGACTCGATAGGGGCCACATTTAGCGTTCTTCTCCCAACACTCGAATAAATGGCCAGCAAAATAGCCACCTAGGTGGGCCGCCATCGCTCCCTCTGACCATCCTACTGCCTGGCCACAATTCTCGTAACGCCGAAACCATAATCGTAAGTCCCCTGTTCCATCATACTTCTCCGGCATAGGGGCCGAAACTTGCATCACGGTCGGCAGGCCGCCGTACGCGTGCACAGGGAGGATCGGCGTCTCACATGGCTCAGACGAAGAGGAGTCCTTGTGGGAACCAACGGCTTGCCAGGTAGTCTTGATAGTCTCGTTATGTCGGCGAGCTAGGGCGTGCGACACGTGCTGGGTGACGTGACGTAACTTTGGACAGCACGTCACCGTCCCGGCGTCTCGTAACGAGACTCTCGTTCTATTCGACTAGGTTTTGGTTACCTTGAGTTCACATTCATGTCACTGTCTAGCTCGTCAATTACAGAGGATAGCTCAGATGAGGGTGCTGCCAACACCAGCTGCCAGCATAGAGAGACGGAGGAGAATCTCAGAAAGAGACTCGATAAGGAGTAGGTTCGGGCGTCACACTTGCTCGTGCGTACACGTGACGTTGGCGAGCACATTATTCCATCTTGCTACTCGACAATGGCCTGGGTGGGGGTATCCGACGACCAGATGACCATGCTATGTGTCGAAGTGTTCGGAAGACACTCGGGTGTCGCAGCGACACTGTCGCTTGCCTCTCTCGAGGCGGATATATTGCGGCTCATAGCCTATGAGCAAGGTCCTTGGGATCAAACACGTAATCAACGTATGGTTCCAAAGCTGGGAAAAATAACGTAGGCGGCTCCCGCCCATACATTAGGAAAAACGGGGCATACCCAGTCACACTATGAAATGTTGTGTTGTAGGCCCACAACACTGACCGTAAGTGATCCTGCCAGGTATCCACCCTCGTCACATGAGTCCTCAATAAAT